CGGAGAAGGCACGTAGGGTTTCCTTAGCGACCCGTCAGGCGGGAGCCGGTCCCCCGGTGCCGCCCGCAGCCGCGGTTACCTCAGCGGGGAGCGGCCGCCCGGCCCAGGCCCTTCCCCGGGCCCAGCCCTGGGGTTAAAGCGTCTTTCTGCTCAGCCCCAGCCCTGGCTTCCCAGCCGGGCAGGGCTCTGTGTCCTTTAGGAAGCGGGTTGAAACAGCTCAGAGGGAGGAAATAGGTGCTGAACTGCTCCCTGTGGTGTGTTCTTCTACAGCTTTTGCTCTCTACATGTTGCTTCCTTTTCCATCCCTCCCTTTTCGTCCTTTCCCCTGTAACTTTCGCCTTCTTCCTGTGCAGAAGCATCAAGCAAAGAGCCAGGAGCCTCACAGCAGCTTAAACACGGTTCTCCAAATTAATGTTCAGGCTTCTTACGTGCTGTTAAGCATCTCAATCAGACAACAAGTTCTGTACAACAGATGTTAGCACAGCTCCATACTGAACCAACTAGTCATATGTACTGTAAAAAATAGTGTGTTTCCCTGTTTCATTAGAGCAAATACCACGGCTGAAAAAAACAAACAACCCAAACCAACCCATTAAATTTCTCCCTCTCTCAGTTAGACTGAAACAGACACATTATTTCCCCGTGTAACTGTACCCGGTTTAAAAACTGAAGTAGTCTGTGCAGTGTGTCTCTCTTACATAGATCAACTGAGGAGAACTGACAAAATATTTAGCAAATAACCTGCACCATCTTAATTAAATGCAGTTATTTTAGATGCTGGGACACATTGCATAGATCCGGTTCTAATTACACTGGCAAGTGTTTTGTGAGATCAATATGGGTAAATTATTTGGGAAACGGCAAGTTTTAGCATGGTTAGGATGGACAATGAGGAATGAAAGAGGGAAAGGAAGGTAGGTAGGCAAGTGTACAGAAGAAAACATAGTGTTAAGCCAGCTATTGATTCTTAATAGAAGAACTAGCTTGGAAAACTGACAGTAACAGAGCTTCTTCCTTTGTGATATTTCACTTCTTCCTTCATTAGCTACAGTCTGTTTAGTTTTTTTTAAGATGGGTTTTCACCACAAACCCTTCAGGACCAAATGGTGTCAGGTGTCTTTTGTGAGGCTGTGTGTGTGTCAACAAGGTTTTGCAAGCCAGGTCAGATCCTAAGGCACAATTATAGGATCTCATAGGCATCACCTAATGCTTCCACTCACATGTACATTTTAGGGTCACCAGCAGCGTTACACAGGCATAACAAAGTAGAACTCACTATGTAATTATGCTGGGTACTAGAGGTTGTTTGGAGTCACTGACAGTAGAGAGAAGGGGACTAACGGGTAGCAGAGACAATGTAGCATTTCTTTATTCCCAAATTTTTCAGTCATTGTTTTTTCATTCTTCTGCCTTAAAAAAAACCAACAACCCACCAGTTCTGCAAGCATTCAGATTATTCTGTTCTGGGATGCATATGATAGAGGTGCTTGCCAGTGGTGGGGAACTTTCAGCTTTGGCTTTTGGTGACAAAGGGTCTGTTTCATGGCTGTGTCAGATTGCCACACGCTGTGGGAATA